TTACGTTACGGTTACGGTAGTAGTAGTAAGGTAAGGTTAAGTTAAGTTAGTTACGTTACGTTACTTTCTTTCTTTCTTTCTTTTTTTTTTTTCTTTTTTATAGGGTATTATCCGTGTGAGCAAAAAAAAATAGTCCATTATTACCTTACTTTAAAATGTAGAACTTAAAAAGTCCATCAAAAAAAAATTGTTTTAATATTGAAAAACCACCTCTAATTGAGCATCTTCACATCAAAATACATGATTACGAAAGAAAAATTAATTTTGAATCCTAAATATAATGGTTCTTACATTGCATCATCTAGATTGTCTTTTTTAAAATTGTATGTTTTTAGATCTATTTGATTTTAACAATTTTTTAAATTTAAATTTTATAATTAGATATAAAAATAGATTTTGAAATAATCTTAAAAATATTTTGCATCAAAATTATATGTTATAATCAAATTTGAAAGCGCCCCTTAATTAGATTGTTTAAGGTTGCAACCTTATATAAACCACACCTTTATCTAAAAGAACATATTTATGATTTTTTTATTTTATTTTATTTTTGTCAAATTTGCTCGCTGTATGATGTTTAAACATCTTTATTTACCTCCTCAAAACTTGCTCTCCTTTCTCTTTCTTATCTCTTTTGTCTCTCAATCATCTCTCTCTTCGTGTTCAATCTCTCTCTCAGCCTTATTCATTAGTTGCATATCTCTCTCTAATAGATTTTGGATTTTTTTTGGAAAAGAAGAATTGGGGTTTTTTGGGAAAAAAAAATCTTTGTAATAATTAGAACTTGCCTCGATGATACAAGGAAGATGATATGCACGAAAGTCACCAAGGCCTTTCGAGAACCTATCTTTTCTTTTCTTTTCTTTTCTTTTTTATTTTTTTATTTTTTTATTTTTTATTTTGATCATTTGAGAATGGATTTGCCTCCCCTCTGTGTGAGCCTAAACATGAGCACACACCTTCAAAACAAAAGGAAATGTGGGGTTGTTGTGTGTTAAGCCTCTTGGCTTTACTTGGGCACAAACCAAGATGCCTTCTTTTGGTGAACCGCTTTGTGAATAAGCTCAAATCAGAGTGTTCCAGTGCACAATGTCTGGTTATTGCTTTGATAGAGAACAAAACAAACATAACCCAAGTCTCCAAATAGAGAGAGAGCAAAATTTCAAAAGCTTGCTTAGTAGCAACTAGAAAGCCATCTTGGTATTGGCCAATGCTTAGCAAGCAAGCATGGATTTGCTTTAGCTCTTTCATTCCTTTGAAATTCTTCGATAGATTGAGTCATTGACATTTTTCTAGAGATAGAAAATGAAAACAGCACATCTCTACAATTCTTCAATAGAGAAAGAAAATGAATATAACCCTTCATACACTTTTTCTCCAAAAAAAAATCCCAATTTTTTTCCCCAAAAAAATCTCAAATCTATAAGAGAGAGATATGCATGTGATGGGAGTAGGGCTTTGATAGAGAGAAGCCCGAAATAGGAGAGATAGAGCAGGATTGAACGAGAGAGAGAGAGGACGGAGAGACAAAAGAGAGAAGAGGGAGATAGAACAGCAAGTATTGACTGGGCAAGTAAAGCGGAAACATCAGACCACGGGTAAATTTGGCAAAAAAATAAAATAAAATCGTGGATCCGTCCTTCTTGATAATAACTGGTTATTTTTGGGAGATTCCGTTATAACGGTAAAAAGATCCGGTCCATACGTAAATTTTCCAAGTTTATATGACTGTTAAAAAGATGATTGTATGCTACGAGTCTATCTATGTTTACTAAAAGAAAGGTCATACTTATTGCTAACCACTAATTGTGAAATTGGATGTCTTGGGGTGTGTCATGAAATTCAATAAATTTTTTTGTAAATCTTGAGTTTAATCTATGATATACTCACAACTTCTTGATTTAAAATTTGACGGATATCAATGGTTGTAACACAACCTCTTTGTATTAAAAATAAGTAGTCCCTTTCTATATTTTTTTGTAAAAGAAGGTGCACGCTAAATATCTTCTAGAAGAGGGCGTTCCGGAACTAGAAGATTATCAAATTGATTAATTCAACATCAAGATGTTTGGATATGAAAATAATAATAATATCAAGTCTTAAAATAGTGCATTTTGTAAAAAATTGTTTAGACAGTTTATTTTAAAAAATTTCTGACGTTTAAAAATCTATATGATTTGTATTATTTTTTAAATTTTAAATTTTATAATTAATGACGAAAATAGATTGTCAAGCTACGATAAGGTTTACAAACTGGAACTACATCTCTAGGCAAAACTTAGAGCTGTGCATCTAGGATTCAACTTCCCTTGGGGTTGACTGTTTGGAAGTTAATCATGGCTTATCAAAAAGGGGTCAACCAATGGATTCAACAAAGGGTCATTGCAAAAACTGATTTCCATTTTCAAAACGTTGATTTGAATTGTTTTTCACATCCATAGGAGTGCCATTTAATATCCAATTCAAAGCCAATTTATATAGTAAGCCCGTTCCCTGCCCTCTTGTTTGAAAGAATTATGAACGAGTACCTCTTCTTTGCCTAGCTACTTTGAAATAAGTACCTCCTTTTCCAATTCATGAATAAGCTCATTTCTCTAATGTATCTACTGAGCGTCCTTCATACCACTGTACGGGAAAATGGCCCTCTTTTATATGTAGTCATAGCGAGTTATATGGCAAGGTTTTTTTAGGGGAATTTATCAAAATACACTTAAATTTTCAACAATTTAACACCTTTTCCTTTTTCAACTATTACGACTCGTGGTCATGTGTATTTTGATGGGTCCTTTGAAATAAAATCAAAAGTTATGAGTTAAATGTAAATAATTGATCTCTCATATGCATTTTGATCAATTTCCCTTATTTGAATGCCAAGTTCAATGTAGAGTTTCAATTGTGGTTAAAATAACAAGTATTTTGAATGCCAAGTTAAATCTAGAGCTCTAAATTGGGGTTACTATATTAAGTTTTTTGAGTGCCGACTTCAATCTAGAGTTTTCAATTGTGCTTAACGCAATTTTTTCTCCACTGAAAAGACAAACGGGCCCCCATTATGAAACATGTGGGGATAGAAGATTCATTGGAATGTATTGTTGGGAAAAGAAATGTTGAATTAGGCCTGCCAATGGCCGGGCAGCCCAGCCCAGCCAGGCCAGGATGCCTGACCTTAAAAAATAGGGCCTAGGGCCATAAACTATGGCCTAAGGGCCAGGCTAGGGCCAGTGCTGGCATGGTTCGGCTCGGCCCACTTTTTTCTTGTTTTTTTCTTATTTTGTTTTTGATTGCCACCCTTGGCTGAAATCTTTACTTCTTAAAAAATTTCATGACATGGCAATAACAAGACTCCTAAATGCAGCAAGGATGGCAAAGGTGATAGAAAGTGACAAGAAACATTTTCTAGAGTTCTTATAATCATTTCAAGTTATATTGCATTACATTTTAATGGGATTGTATGTGATGGGACCATTTGCTTTGGTACATAAACGTCATAAACAACCCAAGCTGTCAAATGTAGAATCAAAGGCTTGGGGTGTATCATTTATGGGAAAGGAGTCCAAGGAAAACTTTCTCGGACATAAGTACAGTCAATGACACCCCAACTAACCAATTTCACATCCAACAATTATAAGTGATTGGGCCTTTTTGTAAAGGACGTAGTTTCAATGCGACCAATCCGCATATTGCAGAAATGCAGGCTTGCAATAAATATATTTTTTAAATATAATATGATCCTAATTTTTAGAGAATATATAATCTTTAACATGAAGACAATGACTATGAAAAAAAAATTGAAAACTAAAAATAATATTTATATTAAAAACACATTTGAACCGTTAGTTACAATTGTTTTTAGATGAACCACCTATTTGCATCCGTCTTTAAGATGGATGTTTTATACCTCTGGACCGCATATTGTAGAAATGCAGTCCAGCCCGCATGAAACAATTTTCCTTTTGTAAAAAATGAAGAGTCGTCTAGTAAACTGTCCCAATTGTTTGGGCACAGCTTCCCATATCTCTTCAAATTTGGAAAATAGAAAAGACTCAACTGTAATTCTGATGGGCCTTTCCCTTGAGATTTGACTTGCACTTGACTTTCACACCTTTCTTCTTTAAAAAACTTGAGGGTATAGGAACCCAATATGCCTTCCCTTCAATGCCCAAAGAACAAATAAGGGTAAAAATGGGCTTCGTGGCCGAATCACCGTGGTCTTAGTTTGAGTTCTAATAAAAATAGATACAGAGAGAGTGAGAGGAACACGAGTAAAATATATTAATACAATAACTTGGTGCATTGCCTTAACATAGATTCATTGGACCAGCAAAATCCACATTTGCTTACATAGAACACCATTTATTTTATTTATTATATTGGGCACTGATTACATATACGTAATTTACTCTACTCATTCAATATCTTTTCCGCATACTCAAACTTTGGTGCAATATCCACAGGTACCTGCACAACCAGAGCCCCAAAAACTCAATAAGCGGACCAAAAATCCAACATTATTCACATAATGAGACCCCCCTTTTGAAGATCAGCATGGGAATCCATATTTTTGGCAGAGTTTGCTATGATGATTTTCTTAAAAAAATATAAAAATTATTGTAGTTTCAAATAATAAAGAAGATGGATATCTGGAGAAAAAAAAAAAAGGAAGAAAAGTAACTATGCTCACATTGGGGACTAGATTCTTAACTCGAAGATCCACGAAACTTAAGCAAAAGAATTCAAATAAAAGAACGAAGTGCATGTATGAATTACTTTCTTTGGATTCCAATTTCGAAACTCAAATTTATAAAATACTTGAAAAACTATTCATTGATCATAGTGGCTAAGCCACTCGAAATGAAATTCCTTATTTCATAAATTGCTAAGTCCCCTTCTGGATGCAAACTGAAACCATGTTTAGGGATGGGGCGGCATTTCAGTTAAGGGACCGTATGTGATTAAGTGATCCACTTAGGGTGTCACTTTAAGACCCCGAGTAGGTGTTCATACTTCACGCACACAAAATGGAGTGAGGTAAAAACTGAAAAACCATTTTTTAGCTCACTTGCAAAAAGGCTCCATCTTGTTAAAATGCTAACTACAAAATTCACAAGAATGTGCATTTCAGCCAAACTAGAACTTAAAACTCTTCATTCGATAAATCATGATGTGCCACTATTTGAGTATCATGTTATGAACCACATGATATAGACCACACCACCTATCTATTGCTCAGTTTTCTTGCTTGTTTGCTATATTTTTTTATTTTCCAATCAACGATATAACAAGAGGACTAACTTCAAAGCGATACTTGTGTACCTGAATTTTTTCTAGTTTGTCCAAAGCTTGGCTTAGTGGTTGCGCTAGTTGGCCATACTTGTCAAGAAGTGAAGCTGCTGCAGGTTTGTCACCTTGTGCCTGTATGGTCAGTATTTCTCGACTCAAGCTTTCGACTGCACCTTCAACCTATCATCAAGAAAATGGATCATTCATAATGGGCACCATGTGCTTGAACACATAATGAAAGTTTTGTCTAAAGGGAACGTATACTAGAATCCAATGGACTACGAAAAATTATAGTCCAAAGTGGTCATCACTGTCCAATGGAGACATCGACCGAGAGAGGGGGAGACACCATTGGCTATTTAGGTGGGTCTCGTTCTCTCTCAATTATGGCCATTTCACAGGACGGTCATGATCCAAATGCACTATGCTTTTCCACATTCCATAGGACAATAGTAAGCTTTCCCTTATTATCAGGAAAAATTGAGGTCGTACCTTAGAAAAATCAACAGAAAATGCTCCATTTGTGTCCATAACAAACCCTCCCTTTTCAAGTATATAATTAAATATCAGCGCCTGTCCTTTTCTGCATTTACACACAATATCACACTAGGTCAGAGAATAGAAGAAAAAACCATAGATCAATTGATGCCACTGAAATGGAAACCGAGTTACGTACCCATGTGCTTCATCTAGCCCAAAGCGCACAGATCGGAAACAACCAGCAAGGAATGAGACATACATTGGAACAGTAAGGTTTTTCGAAAGATATCCCTGTCAAAAAGCAACATAATGAAATTATTCCGGCATTGTTTAGCCAGTCAACAAGGCAAACTCTAGTTCATCAGGAGCAGAATATAGACATTAACATTCACACACACAAAAAAAAAAGCAAAAGAATAAATGCACTGGAAAAAAGTAAAAGAAAAATAAGATAGAAAAAACCGCTATCAGCTCTTTGTCCTGATCCTTAATCTATGTGAAATTATGCCATAGTCCAATGGTGGTATATATATTCCAAGGCTATTTCAACCATCCATTATCACCGATAGCTTGTAGTGTAGCCAACAGGGATATTCGCTGCAGTATATCTAATCTCCAACCATCCATGAGTCTGAATGGATGGTTACTAGTCAATTGGACCATGACATACTTTCACAAATCCCACAGTGTGGTTATATATAACAGCTACCTGTGCTTTCATGCTCACTTTAGCTAAGAAAATGGTTAAGAACTGTATGACTCATCTCTCAGGTAGGCACAAAATTGTACCTGATCAATAAGGAATTTAAGTGCCCAAAGCCCGACAATATCTGCTTTTGCTTCTTCCACGGCTGAGTGAAGCTCTTGAAGTTGCTTCACCACACAAAACAAGGCCATGAGGCAGGTTAAATATTTTCATTTTGCATTGACACCAAAAATAAATAAATTTCAAATAGTAAAATATAAATAACCCATTGTCTCAAGAAAAATAATCACAAATCAAGGAAACAAAGAAGAATATTCCGCATTAACCAATAATTTCCTGGTGCTTTACACATTTGCAATTCTCTCAGTGTGTGTCTTGGTCATCAATGGCACTGTGGCCATTGATTTCTTCTGTTGTAAGTGTTTTTTGTAGTAGTTCGTAATATTAGTCATATAGCCTTAGAGATTATTTTCACATTACTTCATACTCTTGTATCTTGGAGTGGTTCGTAATATTAGTCATATAGCCTTAGAGACTATTTTCACATTACTTCATACTCTTGTAGCGTGGATTCAAGCCCCCATTTTCATATTTTATGATGATCATTCCCAATTTCTTACTTTCCATATTTAGGTAATAGTGTTTATCTTGCTATGGAACTAGGGCAGCCGTTGGAACCTAGGATTCCAATTTGAGTAGTTCTCACTGATATTGCCTGAGGGGAGATTTTGTAAATTGTAATTATGTCAGAAAGTGACAAAGAGGGAGACAAATTGCCAAAGTTACAGGTGGGTATATGTAGATCAAGTAATGGGAATTTAACATTATGGTTGCTCTACCTTTTTTGGATTGAGACAATTCTGAACCGATCAAAAGAAATCGAACAAAGCTTAACAACAGAACCAGAAAGAATGGAGGAATCCAGGAGCAGAGTTTAAGATTTACCACTCATTCAGAGAAAGACATTTTGACAGGTAACAACAAAACTAGTTTAGGATATTAAAAACAACAATTTTATACAACGAGATCATTTATCTTTACTACAAGGAGGTCACAATCACTCCTACTCATTAGATGTCAAATTGGATGGATTAGGTTAGTCACGAAGTCCAAGAAAAAACATTTGAACTTTTGAGTCTTTTTAATGACATTCTTACAACCACCCAATCTGAAATCCAAAAGGACAATAGTGATTGTGACCTCCTTGTACAAAAAATAAATGGTCTCTTTGTATATATTTCCTTACAAATATATTACACTCTTATTGAAAACCTTTAGAGATCAAAACAACATTATTCTGGTTTAGGGATGAGTTATGACCTCCAATTTCCAAACCTCGACTAAAAAAGGACTTCATATAATGAATTATTCTTGACCAGTCCATCTGGTTCAGCCAGGCACAATCAGAATAGACACTTTGTTTCTGCTACATACTAAGGTGGGATAAATCGAGGTTTTTCCAATGCCCTTGAAAGAGCCATTGAAATCCAACTTTCAGAGAAAAGAAAAAGGAACTCATAAATCAGAAATGCTGACTTGTCCTAAATGATTTATAAATGATTTACAACATTTTTGTGGGTTTTCCTTCATAATATTTTTACTCTTAGATATTGTATGGATGTCAACTGCATTCCACAAATCAGCGAGCAAAAGTTCCCATTTTGATAGGCATATCAACAATTGAGGACATCATCCCGCCCAGATCAATGACAAAAGGGTGTCATTGGGAAAGCAGTAATGCAATACTATCTAGTAAACATCAAAAGACAAAAAAAAAAATAGGAAACCGGAAAAAAGGTATTACCAGTCTCACAGTCGACTGTTCACCACTAGGAAGTGTAATAGTATGGGGTCCAATCCCGTGGACACACTCATGACAGATAGTGTGAGTAAAGTAGGGATCAAAATTAACGTATTGCTTTTGTTCCTCTGTGATGCAAATGTCTGAAATGGGTTGAAGAATTTTCTCGAACCTGAATTAGACAAACAGATGACCATGTTAAATTTATGAGTAATCTCATTGATAACTGTAAAGGAGCCAAACAATATCAATAAGACTTCTCGAAATTTTAAAGATGTTTTCGTAATCAGTAAAAATAGTATTGATGCTGCAAAATCAAATACTGGATAAAACGTTTACTTGGCTTCTTGGAGATTCTTGAGCATGACCACTGATGTTCCTCGTTCCTTAACTATCCTCTCATCATTTGGCAGATTGAAAGCAACAATCTGAGGACCTCTAACATCCTGAGAGAAATTTGAAATATTAACTCAGTCGAGAAGAGTGTGAAAATATAAACTATTTAATTTACATTTGCATCAATAGATGTCTAACTAATTTACATTTAATGGAACACAAAAATCTATAACACTCCAATTAACAAATGAAATGCCCAACTTTAAAGAAGGCACACGTCAAATGAATGACAAATGACTTGATTTGTTTGTATCAGAAGTATTTGAAAGGGATGAAAGAATGTGTTCTGGAATTTAGTTAAGAAAAAAAAAAGATCTGAAATAACTTACTACCGTTAACCAAGGGTTGTTCATTTAAACATTCACACGATAGTGAACCAGTGCTAACATTCCCGCATAATGAAACTAATGTTATATTCCAAACTATATGAAGAGATGGTAGGAATATGTTAAAGAAGCGTTTGAAATATTTGAAGCAAAGGCAGGAATCTGTAAGAAGAATCAAGAGAACATCAATTGAAACAACTCACCCCTGCAGTATAAAAGAGCTGAATAACACGTATTGGAGCAGCAGTCACACCTTTTGACTTGTAACTATCATCCATTGGGAGATTGTCTTCCATTTCCTAGAAGCAAGAGAACAGGTCTTAATACAAAGAAGGAATGTCTAGAAAGAAATGTACAAGATTCGAAGATCTTAATACAAAGAAGGTATGTCTAGAAAGAAATGCACAAGATTCGAAAAGATTTTGAAATAATCCAAGGAATGCACCTGCAAATGTTCACTAAAGAGTTTAAGCTCAGAGGTTGCCAAGTCATCCCGAACTCCCACAAATGCCTCAAATGTTGCCTAAAAAAATATGTCAAAAAAACTACTTCAAGATCTATAAGTATCATGAGGCATCGTCTTCAGAGATATATTCAAGAAAAGGTCATCAATTCACAGAAAAATGATTATATGCATTTTGATCATCAATCCACAGAAAAATGATTTTATGCATTTTGATATGCCTGGTCACCATTAAGTTGCCACAACACACGTTCACAATATGTGGCATCGGGGACAAAGCAAACTCGTGATTCAGCCCTAGCAAGTTTAGATGTATAAACATATGAATATGAGAAACTTTGGTGTTCCTACAAAAGCACCATAAATTGGTGATCCCTCACCTTGAAAACCACTTTTGAGGTAGGAGAGGGACCCCAGAAAATTTCACATCAGTCTCCTCTCCAACACCAATCTCCTCAAAGAAAAGCACAAAATAGGGGAACACCATTTATTTGGTGTCCTTGTGGGAATGTCAACAGTGTTCCCCATAGAGTAGTATATTAAACGATTGATAATAGAAATAGTATAACTATCACTACTATGATTTTACCAAAATCAATGGGGACCTGTCACACTTTTCTACAAATTTAAGAAAATAGAACACTAAGTATGGAACATTCTACACGTAATCAAAAAACAAATAATCACTACCAACATTTCACCATGTCAGATCAATCAAACTTTTACGATTAAGAAAATACATGGTGATATGTTGTAGGTTACAACAGTAAACTACAGTGCACATCAACTGTCTTCAATGATAGATAGTTGACATGAAATGTTCAATGCCAAGAGAGCATGCCTTTGCATCTGATGTACTCTTTTATAATTAGCTTTGTGGATGGTATTTTAGGGGAGGGGGATGGTTGTGGTGGTGGCCAATATTATCAAACTAAAACACTATTTGCCCGTTCAAAAAATAATATCTATATGGGCTTCAGAATATCTCTCCTTATCCACTGTGAAATGATTATTTTAAAAGACTCTGAAATTGATGAATTGGACTCAAGGGTGCCTTCACAACAAGGGGAATGTTGAAGAATTTTAAGTTTATCAAATTCTTTTAAGGGTACCTCAAGAAAAGGAGGATTGAATGAGGCACCTTTTGTCAAGTTCATACCTTAATTATAGTCAGCCGTTTGACACCCTTAACAAAAGATATATGTACATAAACACTGGTGAGAAAATCTGTACAGATAGACAAAAAACCACATTGCTCTCATATAGATTCTAAGTACTACCCCACAATCCACAACTTTATCTCTTAAATATGATGTGCTTTGGAGCAATGTGGCACAGCATGTGCTCACCTGTTTATACAACTAACTAGAAAGTGAAATGAAGTACACTACTACAACTCTTCAGATATATCGTAATCACCACCTGTTAATTGCAAGTTATGACATGCAAGAATAAAGAAGAAAAAATAAGTAGCTATTTGGAACAAGTATGTACCTTATATCCAAAGAGTGCATCTCCATATGTCTCATATGGACCAATAGTAATATCCACCTTGGAATCCTGCAGAAGATTTGAAATCACATTCCCACAAATAACCACTATTAGGTTACAAAGACAATTAAGATTTTCATTTTGAATATGCACATTTTGGTTTGTGCATGAATTATTCTAATGCAACACATACATGGCATCATGTACCATCAGTTGCTGCTACTCCTACTCCTAGTGGTACTGCTACCGCTACTTCTATAATCTTGCTACCAGGCCATTCTATTTGAAAGGAAGAGAGTTAGATTTGCTCAAATAAAAAGAACAACTTAGAACCTAAATACATGACTTTATTAGACATAATAACAAGGCAACTTGTTTGGAAGTTCAGCAATTAACTTCAAGCCCTTCAGAACATTTTCTCATTAACTATCAAATCCACTGAATGCCACTCTTCGTTTGTCCTGAGTTAAAGGGTTCTGAGAAGCATGTATTCATAAAAATATAAGACAAATGTGCATTTGGACGTGATCGATTGCCCCTTTTTCTTATATATTGGATCTTTTCTAAAGAATTGCTTGGATTCTACCAATATATATTTAAATAAAAAATTTCTCAATAAAAAATTTGTAACTAAAAAGAAAATTTGTCATTTTGTACCCACACATTGCTAGATTTGAGTTGTGTCTTGAAGACCAAAGTGCCATGAAAGAGAGATTCTCTCTCTATCCAAATTTCATCTCAATAACAATTCAATTATCAATTTAAGCCATGATCATGTACCTGATTGAATTAATTTATTGATAGCTATAAATAAAGAAATTTATGAGTGTCTATTGATTGATAGCAGAAATTAAAAGATAATGTTTTTCATGATATGATCCAATCATCATATAAACTCTGGTTATGGAGTCATTACACTCACCAATTCCATCCATGCAATGTCTGAATCATAATAGTCATTTGATAGGAAAGCTGCAGCTTTAAGTTTTAGCAGTTTCTTCAAACTGAGAATAAAGAAATAGGAATTTAGTAAACAAGTTTAACAAATTAGTAAGAAGAAATAATTCTAAAAGCCAACCTTGGAGTATTGGCTACTTCATATGCTTTTTGTAGCAAGTCAGAAGCTTTTTTGAGCACATATCCATATTGTTCTGAGTAAGGAACAATAGACAATGAAGTATCCGAGCGCCTCCGAATGACGCTGAAAAACCCTACTGCAGCTTTCTGTTGATCCTCCGACAAACTGCTCTTCCAGGATTCAAATTCCTAAAACCAAGACAATCCTGAATGAGTTCTATTTTACAACAATAGAAAGAGAATGTCCTTTAGAGTCATTATGAACTCATAACACTGCATTCAGGATATTCCATAATAAGATCGACCAATATTCATCTATTTACGTTAATTAGTTCAATGAGAGCAGCAAAATCATGATGTAAAAAAATTTGAATTTCGTGATGTAAAATGGGGCCCTATATTTGTGACTTATAAATATTCTAAACTTGATAAATTGGTAGCAGATGAGAGTTCCACTCTAGTAGCAGCAACACTTGTCTTATGAGAGCCAAATACCCTAGAGGAAAGAGACATCAAATTTTAATAAAAAATCTCATAACTTCAATAAAACCATCCTAGGAAAACCTATCCTTCGTCCTAAAGTTTTTTTTTTTTAATATTGTTTAAAAAAAATTTGTTTTAAGCAATAGTATACAAACAAGGAAAGGCACAATAAAAAGGAACGTTTCTTTGGAACACTTGAGCTAAAGAAGTGCATGAATTTATTACCTCTTTGTCCATGTCTGGAGGATAAAAGTTTGCTCCGGGGGGCTTTTCTAAAGGAAATGCTGCTCTATACTCAAGTCCTTTCCATCCAGACACTAATTTTCTGGAACTATTAAGCAACTTGACAGCAGAATCTGCAGTTGTCAAGAATGCCTTGTTTTCATCAAGTGATGACCTGTATTTAGAAGCAGCTTATATTCAATGAGTAATAGTATCTTGGAAATGAAGATCATTCTTCGCAAGGAACATTAATTAACTTGCTATGAGTAACAGTATCTTGGAAATGAAGATCATTCATCACAAGGAACATTAATTAACTTGTTTTGAGCTCTTTAGGATCCTTGACTTGCAAACAATTTTAATTAATTGGCAATGAACAGAGAAACGAATACAATTAAATTCAAACACCTGAAATGTGTGCAGAACCTCATTTGAAACCTATTTTTGTAGAGAAACAGCTAGATCCTTCCCAACTCATCATTACCGAGGATTTAGCAATTTATCTATTAAAGCAGAATCCACATGGGGAATTTGCATTCCAAACGAGGTTTTTGCTCTCTCTCTCTCTCTCTCTCTCTCTCTCTCTCTCTCTCTCTCTCTCGTCGTCGTCGTCGTTCGTCGTCGTGTGTCGTGTCGTGTGTGTGTGTGTGTGTGTGTGTGTAGTAG